ATATATATATATATATATATATATATATATATCAAGTGAAACCAACATCATATATATACATGATGTTGGTCTAAATTGTTATACACGATGTTGACTACAGTTGTTATGATGTTATATGAGGTAAAGACAATGCTTATGGTCTCTTTGCTAGTTTACTTGGTTTATGTGGAGTTATGGGGCTTCACATGATACAAATTGTACAAGTGGACTTGGATTGGGGTTATGAGTAAAGTCTTGTGAGGTATTGATGAAATAGACTCTAAACATGAAATGTTAACTATGGTTTTGTTATAATGTTATTGTTGAACATGAATATGAATATGTCTCATGATTGTTGTGATATGGACTACTATATGTTTTCGGAATGTGCATAAAGACTTTTAAAAGTGAGCTTAACATGTTTATACTAAAATGTCCCTTTGCGCATGTTTTCAAATGATTTACTTGCATATGTTTTCATGCTTAGTACATGTGGTTTGTACTATCCCATATCTCTTCTATTTTCTACACAAAGTGTAAGTTCGGGCCATTGAAGAGATTTCACTCCTTTCTTGAAGAATTTGAATTGCTATCCCCAATTTGGTGAGTCCTAAGTCCGAGGATGGAGATGATTAACTCTAGTTTCATACTTTCTTTTTCAAAGACTTTATTGTAATTTCTATTATAAGACTATTATAAGACGTATGGTAATGATGTAAGGGCTAAACCTCATTTCTCATACTCTTATGTTTAGATGGTCATGTGAAACAATTATGAATTTTATTTTGATATATATGAAGTGAAGTTGAACTTCAAATGAAAAGTTTTATGTTAACCCCTTTTTATTCTATCAATGATGCAATGATGTATGCTAAGGGCTTGTCTAAGGTCTTTTCAAGGACGAAAACGTCGATTACAACTAGTTAGAGGGTGCTCTCCGGTCGTACCAAATTTTGTAAAATTTCATGTTGGTTTATGAAAATTTTATACAATTACAACAACATTGTTCACAACTTTCATATAAATTAAATTTCTTCAAATTTTGGATTCGAACTCTCCTTGTTGTTCCAGTTCTTTTGAGATATTACTACTTGATTATTTTTTTGTTTGTGGTTAAATCAGTTTTCAAAATTGAACTTCAAACTTCTTTTGTGTCTAACATTGGATTGAACTCTTGCTAAGCTGAAAATATCTCTAAACCAATAAAAAAAATGGGTTAAAATTGAGTGTAGGGTTGTTCATGGTTATGGTTACAAATCAAATCAAATCACAGTTTGAATTAAATCGATGAAAAAAACTCGATATTTGGTTTGATTTGGTTTTAAATTTTGAAAATCGATACTATTTGGTTTGGTTTTGATTTTACTAAGAAACAACAACAAAAATAATCAAATCGAACCGATAAACTAGATATATATTATTCATAAATAAAATATAAATATTTTGTTAAATTTTAATTAACTTGAGTCTTTAACTTTACCATTTTCTCAAAACCCAACACTTAAAATTTTAGCTCAACTATTACAACCCTAAGTCCAAGTCCATCAAAATTTATTACTTTAGTCTATATCTATCCTACCTCACATAAGATAGTCACAATTTTCTTAATTGAATCACTCTCTTTGTGTGTCAAAATTTTCTTAATTGAATCACTCTCTTTGTGTGATACTAACTCTTGTATTGCTTAATTGTTTAATTGAACTCACATATACATGATGTATATTCTCAAATTTTTTATAATTTGAATCAAGATTGAAAGGGTCTTTAATAAACTAGGAGAAAAATTTTGCATCTCAAAAATTTCAAAAATGGATCTTTGCTGAACAGGGAGAACAAAAGAATCTTGAATCTCAAAACTTTTGATAATCTTGAATCAAAATTGAAAGTATCTTCGATGAACTTGAAGATTCAAAAGGATACCGTTTGTCTTACAACAATTTTATCACCTTTTTATACTTCATAACTCACCTCGCTTACCCAAAATTTTTATAAAAAAATTGAATCAAATCTGAATGGTTTCTTTGTTGAACGGGAAAAGCAATTTAAAATTTTATATTTCTTCGTTCTATTAGAATTTTCGTGAAGCAAAAGAAAACTTGTTGTTCTTACCAATTTCATCGAACAAATCAAAGACAGACTAGAGAAATGAAAGGTTAAGTGGGATGAAAAAAGGAGCTTCATCCAATGAGTTGCATGAATAAAATTGAAGAAGAAAATTCAATAATTAAAAAAAAAATCATCCGATATCAAATTTGCTAAAAGATAACAAGGATCAAGCAAATAAAAACATAATTAATGGGATTTATAATTAATTTTTAGACAGTATTCCCTTTTTAGTTTAACAGAAAGATTTTTCTTGTATTAAAATTAATATGTCTATAGATGACTTATGTATCTGAAAAATAAAAATTTTAAGGAATTATTATAATTAAATAAAATAGAAATATAATGTAATTTATTATTTATATTATAAAATTTATGTAAGTTATACAATAAAATATGTGAAATTTGGATGCTTCATAATGTATCTAATTCCTCAAGAAAATGTTTTTCTAAACTATCAACATCAATATGTCTCTAACCACATTGAGTAAAAAATATATTTATGGACAAATTAAGGCATCCACTGACTCATCCGATCATAATGATATCAAATGGCATAATGTGCTAACGAGTAACGTTGGTTATTAATTAAAATATAACATCAACGTCTTTGGTATTAAAAGCAACACTACTTGTTGGATTCACACCTATTTGTATATTTATATCATGAAAATTATAAAGATACGATATTTGATTTTAGTATAATTTCAAATTAAAAGTTAGCTCATGAAGAGAGGATTGCTCAAGTTCATATAAGCAGACCACCAATACATTTATCAACCAAAATGACACTTTTATCACTCTAACAAAAATCTATAAATTCGATCTCAATTTGCTTAAAATTGAGGCACAATACACGGTTGTAATTGTTGTAGCCAGCTAATTAATTAGCTCATAACCACACGAAAATTTATTGATTTTCTTAATTAGCTCATAACAACACGAAAATTTAATGATTTTCTTCCTGTATTTTAAATTGAGATGGCAAAGATTTAGATGATTTTGAAATATGGAATATAATTTAATTTGAGGTGAACTCTAGTCTTCTCCTTATTCTGTCCAATAAAAAAGTTACTATTTGTGGAAGGAATAAAATCTTATTATTTAATTTGTTGTAATATTATTGCTTACACGATATATATTCTCCGCTAACATGATTATATAACTCATTCAGCTGATCTAGCCATGGTATATTCATAATTCATGTGTCACAACTCACAATGATGTATTCTTCCTTAACAACAATTTAGCAAATACAAAGATGT